GGCCCTGTGCCCATCTGCATGTCCCTGTCCTCTCACACTCTTAGTGCCCGCAGCTCACTCCCCTGACCACCAGGGCTCTGTAGGAGCAGGCATGGTGGATTTTATGTCTGAATTTGCAGTACCTACACTGTGCAGCCCAACATGACAGCCACTAGGGAAATCTATTTAAATTATTTAAATTGAATTAAATTGAATTAGGCGTTCAGTCCCTTGGTCACACTAGCCACATTTCAAGTGCTCAGTGGCTACGTGTGACTGCAGCCCGGGATGGCCAGACAGATATTTCTAGGAGGTACCTCTCGAATCTTCACAGCCAGTCCTGATGGGCAGCATGGATGCACAGAAGGCAGAGTCAAGGTCAAGGTCAACTGTGCAAGCAGTGGGAGGGGAGTGGAGGGAGAGCAACAGCCTGCCAGAAACAGAGACCAAAAACAAGGTTCCTAAAGCATAAAATCGGAAACTCACTTGACAAGAACTTCATCTCCAATTGTCCTTATTTTCTTCAAATCGATCTTAGAATTTCATGTAAAGTTTGAAAAGATACACACTGTATAAAACAGGGCTGGGGTGGGGCCTGAACATTGACTTGAAACTGATGCAATCCATGAAGGCCACACCTCTTTGCCTGGCACACACTACTGGTGCCACAGGGGCCGCTGGGTCAGGTTTCCTGGGCACCAGTTGCCAAGCACCATTTGTGGATCATGATATTTGATCTTAATATTCAATTCTCATAATAAATACTTGAATTCTCATTGTACAGATGAGAAAATTGAAGAACAGGGGCCACGGATTGGCCCATGTCAAAAAGTCATACTAGAGGTCAGAGGCCTGGGCCTAGATGCCAGGGTCCCAGCCACTCTGCTTGGGAAGATCTAGAGGAGACCTAGAAGGAAATACTCTGAAAGTTCTGGATCATTTCTTTGAACCAGGCTATGTATCCCCCTCTCTCCCCTCTGCTCCCCTAGTGCCTTGTGAATTTGGGAGCTGGATTAGGAGGTTCTGAGGTAGTGGCCAGGGTGTCCTTGTGAAAGCCAAAGACTACCTGGGGGATTATCTGGGGCAGCTGAGTGCTGCACAGAAAGCCAGTGCCCTCACATGGTCCTGTGTTTAGAGTGCCGAGGGCCACCCACTGGCCTTGACCCTGAAGGACTCAGCCTCCTGAAGAGGCTCATGGTATTAGATTTGCCAATGTCCAACAAGACAATGCTAAATGGGAGGATCACAGCCACTTGTGGTTCAGCAGAAAGTAGGGACCAAATCCAGCGTTCCATTGGCCAAAGGAAACAAAGGTAGAAATGCAGAGAAACCGAGAATGGCCAGGTTAATGATGCCGGGGACTATTATATTAATACCCCCCGTTTAATGGGCACCTACCCCTGGGGTGAAGCACTGCTGGTACCATATTGCTAAGGCTCGAGTCCAGTCCATACGGAAGAAATTTTCATCCTACATGAGCAGGGGTCGGGGGAGTTAAAGACCATGCTCTCCCCAGGTGCAGAAGGGTTGCGTGGTCTACAGGCTACCTGCAGAGTGCCACAGTGGCTTCTCTGTTCCATTAAGAGATGAGGAACGTGGCTGAGTCCTTCACTTCTTGGAGTAGACAAGCCACAAAAGAATATCATTTTGAGCAAAAGTCAGGCCCCATTTCACTCATCAAAAAGCTGCCCCAAAACTATAGGGATGGGGTGGGGTGGGTGCGACTCTCAAGGGCTTTGCCATGAATAGTCAAAACACTCACAAGCAGCAAACCCATGAGATATTTTCGTTTCATGTTATTATTAGCGAGAGCTGAATATAGTCCTGATAATCTTTCAGCTCAATGAACAGGCAGAAGAGAGAGGAGCCAGGGAAGCAGAGGAATTGAGGTATTTCAGGAACCAGACCCTTCTAAAAATACGAGAATGCTTGATGGCAGGAGTTGGGAGCCCTGTCTTCTATTCTGTAAGCCTGACATGGCTCCCCTCCCTGTCAGCAGTGAGGCTGGGAGGTCTCCCTCTGTCTGCCCACGTTGCCAAACTTTCCAGTCTCACCTAGAGCACCCCCTCCACCTGCACAAACTGGTTACAGTAGGCTTGTGAGACCCCTGAATGTGTTGATGGTTTTGGTCTTCCTGAGCCTCTTCAGGCTTATGCTTCTGCCTACAAAGCCCTTCCCTACCCACTCTGAGCAAAAGAAGACTCCACTTATCTTCCTGGCATCCTTCAAATGTGGCCACCTGTATTAAATCTTCCCTGAATCCTCAGGCTGAGTGCACTGATCTCTTTGGGTTCTGCTCCTTTGACCTCTGCAGCACACGACCCCCGTGCTGTCTTTAGTTGTACATGACTGTGTCCCTCTAAAGACTGTGAATGCTATGGGCAAAGGCGACATTCAGTTTATCTTTGTATTGTAAATGTTTTCCAAATGAGGAAGCAGATCTCTTGGATACCCATGAGATGTGAAGAACAGAGGATCTCCTGGGAGTACCTCACAGTCCAGAACAATGCAAAGTGTCAGGATTGCCTCTATCACGTGCACTGTGTGTCTTCCCAGGAGCCAGCTGGAGAACAGGAGATGGCAACATGGATTCCAACGCCTTTCCTAAGGCAGACCTCAGCTGAGTTCAAGGCTCCAGACCTTGCCCAGAGGGACCTGGTGTGGTTCCTCCAAGGAACAGGAAAGCATTAAGAGAAGTGTGCACACTAATACATCCATCCATCCCTGTGCCATTTTTAAATACTTGGAAAGGATCTCACTTCAGCTCTCAGAATCATATTTTCAAGTTCCGTTAAAGGCTTGGGTAAAATGTGTTAAATTCAAATGGTGGATCTTCCATAAAAGTGCGTGAAGTATGCCAACAAAGGTTGAGTACAATAATGATTTTGCAGCCAAGCTTGCTGTTCATAATTCACATGCAAAGCACTGACTGATCCCAATTAGCTCAGACTTGTTTTTGCTTTTCTTTGTGCGCTGCCTCCTGCCCACCTTCCTGGGACTCCTCCTTTTGGGTTATTTGTTCAGACTTCAGCTCCAGACACACCACTGTGATTTCCTTTTTAATAAACACTATCCAGTGAGGAGCGGAAAACAATGAGAGGCACCTGCACTCTATTATAACTTCTCATTCCACCCACCAGCGCGGAGCTATGAATAAGTGAGAACCAGCCTCAGAATAGTAACAGCGTTTTCCCATAAACACAACAGCAACACAAACCTCAGCGGACATGAGCAGCAGAGCACCCTGCTCCAAACACGGCAGGAATGTCCCTGGGAGAGCCCAGCGTCTGCTGTCTGTGGCCAACGACTTAGCCATGGGTGGGACCATGGACAGTACTCGTGCTAGCTAGCAAGCAGCTGGACATTCCTGAAATCTTAGGAATGGGGGTGCTAATTAATGACAGTTCAGGAGCTGGATGGAGGGGGGGGGGCTTGCCCTCCCCTGTTAGAGGGCTGAGCTGTTTCCAAGCAGTCCAGAGTTGCAGAGGAGAGGACACAGGGCATGGAGTCAGAAAACAGGCATCCGGCTCCACTGTATTCCGATGACAAACACCTATTCAGTGCCTACTCTATGTACAAGAGCTGTTGTGGGTGATGAGGGTGCTCTGGGAACAGAACAGTCTAGACCCCTGCCCTCATGGAGTTTATGATCTGGCCACTCACAAACAGTACTACCTTGAGCAAGGCACCCAATGTGGTTGAGCCGCTTCCCACCTGCGTATGGGCACACCTGGATCCCAGCCCTCAAAGCCCAGAATGAGCTAGTAGTGGTCAGGGGGGAATAAAGGTCACCATTTCTTTGTGTGTTTTCTTAATTGTCCTTTAAAGTGTTTATTACCCACAAAGGGAAAGATAGCAACCTCACAATGGAGGACAAGGCCCACGTGGCCTTCACCAAGTGACCGAATCAAGCACTTCCTCAGAGAAGACACCTGTACACTGTTAGTTCCTGACGAAATGCCCACAGAAGGGAACACCAAAGCCCTGTGTGATTCTGATTCTTAAATACTCTGTGCTGTCATAAAACATATAATAATACACAATTGTCATTTTAATCATTTTTAAGTATATAATGCAGAGACACTGATCACCTTAGGGACTTTGTGCAAGCAGCACTATTTCCAAACTTGTCCACCACCCCAGATACAAGAGTGACTGCTTTGAGCATGGATTTACATGGGACCCAGCAGTTCTTTGGCCTCATTGGCAGTTGGGATTTGGTGGCTGGTGGTTGGGGATTGGGGTTTGGGGGGTGGTTAGAGGTTGGGGACTGGGGGTTAGGGGTTGGAGATTAAATGGCTATAGCGGCTTCCTAAACAGGACACGGCTTCAGACTCGCCATGTTCCACCCCTCCAATACATACAACAGAGCAACCAGGTGGTCCTTTGGAGAGATGAATCTGTTCTGCTAACCTCTATGCTGAAGGCTCTCCAGAAGGATTCCTGTCTCTTTTCACATGCATGCTCTGGCCAAATGCTAATTTCCAGGTTCCCTCTGATCCCTTGTCCACATCCACTGTGTGGGGCTGGCTTCTTTGCTTTTCTTCAAGCATGCCATGCCAGCTCTGACCTCAGTGTCTTTGCACCTGCTCTCCTCTCTGCCAGGAGTGCTCTGCCACCAGCTAGCACCTTCTTTAGGTCTATTCAAACGCAACCTCTCCAGAGAGGCCATCCTTCTATCAAACAGCACCCCGGACACTTCTAGTCCTTCTCTCTTTCTGCTTATTTCCCCACAGCACTTATGGGCGACTGTCCCAGCCCTCAAAAGCCTACCTCTCAGAGTGAGACCAGATGCACTGCCCTGCGTGGGACCAAACAGCAAGTCCCCTTTGCCAGCTGGCACCATGTCAAGCTCTGCCAGTAGAGGGCACTGGAGGGACGTGGAGCCCTCAGGTTCTGGTGAGGACCTCTCTCAGAAGGCACCACCCTCTGGGCAGCCTCCTCCTTCTCCCAGAGGGAAACTTTCCAGCACACTGCCCAAGCGGGCAGGTTTCTGGAGGCTTCCAGGGTAGGACACCACCACAGACATCCTCCCTGGCACTACCACAAGTCCTACCATCTGCCATCAGTGGACCATGGTCTGGACCAAGTCATGGCAGGTGGGGTTCTTGACCTGATCCCTCCTTGGGAACACTGCCCAGCCCTCAGGGCAGTGGCTGCTCCCAAGTCTGCATTCCTGGACTGTTGAGAGTTCCTTGCCTCTTAGTAACTGAGACCCTATTATAGATAAGGATTCTTAATATTGAATTCACCTGTTAGAATTACTGTGTAGTCTATGTCTCCTACTGGATCCTGACTGATGTATTAGATAGAAAGAAAGAAAGAAGTAGGGGGATTTCAGTGGGGCAACTGTATGTTAATTACCCCTATTTTATCCCCGTCCCTCCCAGAACGCAAGCAGGACTCGGTTTTGTTTACCACTTACTCCACCCCATGGCGGAGGCAGGATGGATGGATGATGGATGATGGATGGATGGATGGATGGATGGACGGACGACTTCCCAACTCCCAGGTGGTAACAGATGGCACCTGGTGGTGTGGTAAGTGCTCAAAACATAGTGGCTCTAATGTCTTTGTAGACCTTATCAAACTTGCATCCGACTTTTGCATTCCTTTACCAGTTGTCCAGAATATCAAAATACTTCACTGTCAAATGCCAGATCCTAAGAAGAGGGACTAGTCCTGTGACTTTCTTCAGTGAGGGGGAGGGAAGAACAACAAATGTAGCAGAAACTGAAAGAGGAAAGTAGTTTTGGCTTTTATTTTTTGGGGGTTTTGCTTGTTTTTATTCTGATGATCAAAAAGAAAACTGGACCGACGTGACCTGCCTCCGCTGTCTATGGAACAGTGTCTCCCGCCACAGACAGCGGTGGTGATGGATCACGTCCCCTTTCTCCGATTGGAAAGACCTGTCAGGGTCAGCCCCTGATTCCTGGTGAGGATTCACTTTCTCACCCTTCCAAAAGGCCTGCCAGCAAGCTGGAAAATGAGCATTTCAAGAAAACAGAAAGCACATCTGATCATTGAAACACTCAGTAATTAGAGTCTCCAACCACACTCGAACCTACTGAGTTAAATTCATAACCTCAGAAAATTATAAAGAGAAACCCTTTGGAGACGAGGAGGTGCTAAAGGATTTACTTCTTTACTTTTGACTGCTCCATCCTTTTTGGTTTGCGGGGGATTTCATTCTCCTTTGACGTTTTTTCCCCCACAATGGCCCACTTTGTTCAGAATCCTACTGGCCTTACTTGTTGACTGACAAAAGAAACCAGAGAGAAATATGCAAAATCCCAAAGCCAAGAATCACAATTACCTAGTAAAACACATAATAAGGACCTAATGCCACTAATGAAAGATCACAAGGCATGTGACACCAGCCTCCCCACGTAAGTAACAACTGTCTACTTCAATTACTGTTTTCTTTTTTACCTCAAATTCTAAACAGGACCAGAAGAAATTAGCACCATCAAAACTCATGGTGCTGGGATGTAGCCGTGAACCAAAAATCGCAAGAAGAAAAGGCTCTGAGTGTCAAAAATGGACATGATTTTCTCCAAAGGAAGATGCAGAGGAAGCCAGTGAGCCCAGAAGGAGAAGCTGGGCCTTGTTAAGTTATTAGGGAAACCAAAACAGTTCTACTTCCTACCCACTGAGATGGCTACATTGGAAACAAAAGGAAAATAGTAAGTGTCGAGTAGGATGTGGAGAAATTGGAAATCGGTGCCTGCATTTGCCATTGGTTGGGAAGGGAAATAGTGCTGTCGCTGTTGAAGACAGTTAGGCAGTTCCTGAAGAGCCACCACCACGCGACCTAGCATCTTCCCTCCCAGCTATGTTTCCAAAGGAATGGAAAGCAGAGATCTGCACAGATATTTGTATAACGATGTTTTTAACAGTATGAGTCACACCAGCGCAAAGCCAGAAGCAGACAGCCACAAGAGAATGAATGGACAAGCAAAATGGGGTCTCTGCACACAATGAAAAATTATTGCACCCTAAAAAGGAATGAAATTTTGATATATGCCATAATATGAATGGGCTTCGAAGACCTCATGCTAAACCAGACCCAGAAGGACAAAGAGTATGTGTCTCCACATATGGGAGGTGACCAGAATAGGCGAAGTCACTGAAATAGAAAGTAGAATAGAGGTTACCAGGGCTCAGGTGGTAGGGAAGGGGGAGCTGGTTAGTGGGTACAGAGTGTATGTCAGGGATGGTGAAAAAGTTTTCAGTATGCAGTACTCCCCCCTTGCCGATTGGTGGACACATTCTAAAGCCCCCAGTAGATGCCTAAAACCATAGATAATGCCAAACCCTATAGGCAAGCACTGCAGTAACATGACAATTCATTTGATAATCAAGATGGCTACTAAATGGCTGGTGGGTGGGGAGCACATACAGCATGGATATGCTGGACAAAGGGAGGATTCAGGTTCTGGGTAAGACAGGGTGGGGATGGCTAGTAAATTCCTCATGCAACTCAAAATGGCAAGTCATTTAAAAAGTATGAGTTGCTTATATTTGGTATCTTTCATTCAGTATTTTTAGATCACAGTTGACCACAGGTAACTGAAACCATGCAACACAAAACTGTGAATAAGGAGGAACTCCTGCAGGAAGTGGTGAAGGTTATACACTGTGAATGTACCCAATGCCACGACTTGCACACTTTCAAGTAGTTAAAATGATAAATATCATTTATATATTTTAACACAGTAGGCATTTTAACACGCACGCACGCACACACACACACACACACACACACACACACACACACACACTGGATGCCACAGAACCCAAGCAGTACAATCCACAGGACACCCTGACAGGCCCTTATCGTCAGCCTACAAGTCTCCTCGGACCTCTGTCATAAAAAACTCTTGCTCCCATCCCACTTGCTTTGAAACCGATCATGGCACTTTGTGCCTAAAGTCAGTTAACCTTTTCTGTGGAGACCTGTGGCTGTCCAACTGGACTTCCTGTACACAATCATACTGGACTCACAGTGATTAGGACCCCAATTACCCCTAACTCTTTGTAATCAACACACACCCCCACCTCAGGGGAACTTCGACCTCCTTGACCCCTCTCAGATCTGGGCTGCTCTCCCTATTCCCTTTGGCTCCACCATTCAGGGTAGGATGCAGTGTTGTGTTTCCTTCTGCAGGGGTGATTTTTGCCCTGTGAACCTCACGACCTCAGGAGGTAGGTGGTAGAATTGCCTTTATTTTGCAGATGGGGAAACTGATGTCTAGAGAGCTTCAAGCAAGTCCAAGGTTACAACAGATCATATGCAAGAGCCGGTAATGGGAATTAGGCAGCAAACTTCCCAACCCACCTTGCTCACTGCACATGAGTGAGGGACAGAAAGTATAGAGATGCTGGTAGCTTGGGGTAGAAGCCACCCTGATCCTCTGCATCAGCTCTCAGAAGACGCATCTCCTCCCAGTAATGAAGTTCCTTCCAGCATGAGGGCTTGCAGGCAGGCCTCTTGAGTCAGGGCACAAGGAATCAGGGTTTCCCAGCCTCTGATACACTGACTGAAAGGCACTGCTGGCTGGACTGGATGGTGGCCTCCCTCCTCATGGGACGACTCTTTCTGGCAGGAACACGGAGCTGTTTGACAACACCCGGCCACATTTTGGAACGGGTGAGGGCCGGAAGGTTGAAAACAATATGGCACCCCTTAAACTGCTGAGTGAGGAGAAGCACAGTGACCTCTCAGCAAAGAGAGCGAAATGTCTTCTATGCTGGAGCACCAGCTGATCCTACTCAGATCGCCACTTCTGGATCCCTCGGAGCAAATATTTCTCATATCCTGTGCAGCTGGTGCCACTCCAAGCATAATCTGGGCAAAGGTCCAACATGCATCCCAGCGTGCAGTGGGTGGAAGGCAGAGAAAGAGCAGGACTTCACCGGCTCAAGGCTTCTGGGGTCTGCCTGATTCCATACAGACCCATCAGAGACTTTGTGGGACAATTAGAAAGAAGACAGCTTCACTATGCCAACAGATAGGCTAAGGATAGTTCTTAAGTAAACATTGGGGGAATCAGTCGGGAGCAGATGAGTGAAGAGAATAATCAAAAGGAATTCAGGCCAAATGCATGGGTAGCAAAGAACAATTCTGTTCAACAGATATCCATGTGTCCCTATTATGTGCAGAGCTAGGGGCTGAGAATGCAGTGGTGACCAGGGCACGCTTTGCTTCAAAGGCTGCAACTGAGCAGTGAAAAATATCTTGGGATTCAGAGAACCTGTGCTGGAGAGATCTGGTTTTCTTTTGCTTTATGTAAAAAAAAAAATGTGTTCATGTCTCCACTCTCTAAATAGATGCTGGATGCTTCTTTGGACTATAAACTCCCTGAAGTCAGAAGCTAAAGCTGCCTGGTCTTGGTACATAGCAGGTGTCAGTGAGAACTAGCTGAACAGAAATGATCAAATGCTCTACTAAACCAGTGAGGGTAGAAGAAACCACATGGAAACTGAGAACCTATTTTGAATTGATGAGATCACAAATACAAAATATCAAAATTGGTGGGATTCAGGTAATGCAGTACTTAGAGGGAAATGTATAGCTTTGTAATACCTATATAAATCAGGAGATATGACCAGTGGCTTTCTGACCCTTCAGTGATGGCTTCAGGTATAGACACTGTTTTTGAAAATTCAGCTTCACATCTCAGAGTCCAGAATGTGCTTCAGCACAGAGTAGATTCTCAGTAAATACCCACTTTAATCCAATCAAAGTGTTTCAGTGTGAGTCCTAGGGGTCATCCTCAGTTGCCTCTCTGCCTTTAATCTGAATGCTATCTACTGTGGGTGTCCTTTACACGTATTAATCTCATTTATTCTACTTTACAATCAGGTGATATTTTGATTAGAGAGGTAAAGCAACGTGTCCCACACCACACAGCTGGAATGTAGAACTGGGCCTTGAAACCAGACAGTGGAAATGCAGAGTTGGTGTTCTCAATCACAGTGGGTTACTGCCTTCCCATTCAGCTCAGGAATAAGCTCCACCGGACAGTCTTCCTGGTCAAGGGCCCTTGTCTGTGCCCTCTGAGCACCCTGGTCTGGTATTCCATGGCACTGCTACGACCCCGGGTGGCATCCTGCTGCCTTGTACATGAGTTTTCTGTTTTGCAGCCTCGCCACAGGCTCAGCACCCAGGGCACACTCAGTTATGGCCCCTAACTCAGTAGGAGGTGGCATAGGTGACAGCTCCTCTTCTGTTGTGCGCAGGAGTCATCTGGAGAATTCTGCTGCTGCTGTTACTTGGCAAGTCTCAGGCCAGGTCTCGGAGTCTGCATTCCTGACAAATGCCCAGCAGATGCTGAAGCTGCTGGTCCAGGGACCTGACCTTGAGCAGTGAGGAGTCAGATGAAAGGACAGAACTGAGGGCAGAGCCTCTCTGGGCTCCCTGCAGAAGCAGCTCCCAGGCTGTGATCCGGGACAAGTCAGTTCACTACTTTGGCTTCAGCTTCCTAATCTATGGAAGGGAAACAATTATATACCTACCCTACAGGGCTAATGTGGA